TCTATCATGTTCGCCCTCCCGGTAGAACAAGTTTGAGGATTACCATGTCCTTCCCCGCTCTTCGGACTACGGATAATCTAATAATATTCCTGCGCAACTTTTCCATCACACAGTCCACCTGATGGAAAGTGGTTGCTGTGGCCCATAGACATCTACATCTATCCTCGATTACGAATCAAAATGCAGATGCGTTGTCACCCGTGAGGACTAAGATGGAATGCCTCGTTTCCAGTAAAAGAGGGTCTCCGGTTCTCTACACTCACCATACAAAACACAGCAGCGTTATGCTGCTATTTTACGCTGGTATTCATCTCTTCTTCCAGCTCCAGGATCTTCTCGTCAGTCCTCAGGGTGCGTGCGTTGTATGTTGTTAAATCGAGAAGTCTTAGGTGGCAACTGTACCTCCACCGGAGATTCTTAAATTCCTCTGCACCGCCGTTACCATGGTTGCCACCGTAGCCAGGAATAGCGGGGCCACCGGGGACTGGGGACCGTCTCTTCGTCACTTTATTCATAGGGGGTATATTGCCAAAGTTGCCAGGCTTGGCGAGCGGGTTGACAATCGCAGTTTTTTTAAGTTTTGTTTTGATATAATCAGAAAGATGCTGCTTCCCAAGTTCTGTCTCAGTTTCCCTCTGTCGCCTCTTACGACACCCACAGGAAGATATGGGGTAGCGGGTATTCTTACCCACTACCCCATATCTTGCTAAAATAAATATGAACAGTAAAAATGTCACGTGTAATATCCATGTTACATTTATGGTAGTTGGTGTGAGCATTATCACTCATCTGGCTCTTTGAAAGATTACGATACATCTTTTCATCATCATCGTGATGACGTATCAAGCTAAGACGGTCGGCTTCTCTAGTTCTGCTGCAGAATTCTTTATTTTGAAGTATTTCGCGATCATTATTACCACATTCCTTCACAAATTCACTACAGAAAACAGACTTTTGATAATGAAATTCCAGCGTTTTGTTTCCACATAGATATCCCAGCTTTTATGATATCTCAGTATGGTTAAATAATTTATATAATGAAAACGATTAAAATAAAGTGGATGAATTTATTAATTATTACATTTTAAGATGATAAAGCTCTTTTCAAAAGCTGTGAGATATTAATATACTTGAAAATTAATTTTAGGACCTTTCTTTCACAACGTTATTAATAAATTTTATCGTCATCATGTAAAATATAAAATGAATTATGTAAAATCCAAAAATGATAATTTGAATGAAGTTTAAAATAAATCAGCTAAACTTTTTTTATACGTGGTAGAGGTATAATATCGTTGCAGCGTGGGGTCTGGCTCGACCGAGGAAGGAACACGCTCCAACAGAATACCACCGTAAAATAGCAGCTTAACGTTGCTGTGTTTTGTATGGTGAGTGTAGAGATCTGGATACCCTTTTTACTGGAAGTGAGGTTTTCCATCTTAGTCCTCACGGGAAAGAACATGCATATTGATTCGTAAACGAGGATAGAGGTAGATGTATGGGACACAGCAACCGTTTACCATCAGGTGGACTGTGTGCTCGTTTGTCATCCTTATCCTTTAAAAAACAAAACACATAATAGCACGTGAAACTTGCGGCAATGATATTCGCGTAAATTTGGTTTGTATAAACCTGTATTGCATGCAGTATACATTTAGTATTGTTGATCTTGACCTAATCCGGATCACGTTCTTTCGTAAATTTATTTTTAACGTAATTTATTTTCTATTTCCCGCTAGATTCAGAACCAAAAGGAAATCTCTAGTGCCAGCTGTTTGTTATGTATTATTTTTAATTTACATTTCCGACTAATACTCGGATATTACACGAAAGCACTAGAATTGATTGTCCATCATTGTTATAACTCAAAATATTTTTTTAAATATTATATGATTTTCTTTTTTTTTTGTTTTCAGTACAGAGCTTGCGCTAATCCAGCGGGACTTGAAAAGTTCATTCTGGTCTCTCATCCAGGCTGCCCAAGGGAATTTCTGTAAGCCATCATCATTTCCATGTATGCACGGGGATAATGACTGGTTGCCCCACATCACAAAAGAGAAAGCCGTTGTTTTAGGCTCTTCTTGCGTCAAACTCAACTCTCGGGACAGGAAAAACATAACGCCGACCATTCTGCAGTATCAATGCTCCATGCGGCTCTATTGGTTAACACAGTGTTCAGTGCTCATATCACTACTCTCCCTGTATAACCATATCTCGAGTTAGCCGGATGGAATTTACCCAGTTGTGCTGAAGACGTGTGCTCCAAATTTGGTAACCCAGTATCAAATCCTTCAACTTGACCTTCTAAATTCTATCCGATCGGCTTGATCCGCTGACCAAGACTTTGCATCTCTGTGCATCTTTTATAGCATAATCACGGGAACGCTCAGAGGAATTCTCCGAATCAATTCCAGATGCTAAATCTCAATGGACAAGAGAACAAACTAATTTTCTCGGCAATTAAATTCAGTGTATGCAAATTACGTGATAAGGATGCTTTGGAGAGTAGCTTGGTTAATAATTATGGCACGAGGCAGCGCGAACAGGCGCAGTCGTCGGCACACTAATTCAACCGGCACGCATATTACCTGTATTAAAACTTGGATTGAAAATTGGCCACTTTGAAGTGGAACTCGTAGAATGATTCCATGTGTTACAGAACTGCGATATCGCTTTTTTCGCTAGCTTAGCCTTAGATGAATTTCTATGAAGATGTCACTAAGCCATCTTAGTGACATAGAGTGCCTCGTTGGATTTATGGTCATGAGGTCCCGAGTTCCAATCCCGCGTTGGGCCAAAATCATTTGGCGTGATCTCTCTCCGGTCGTGGCGGATTGCCATCCCATCGACTACGAGAGTGGGGGAATAGAGAGTGCTTTGAGTTTTCGCATACACTTGGGCAATATAATTCGCTGATGACTAGTCAAGGTTAAAAATGGACGCAGTGACCGAAATGTTTTGTTCGGGACAAGGCGATCATCTTAAAAATTTAATATTCTGCACTTGCGTTATTAAGTAACGTGAGTATACACCACTATTTTTCATAACTAAAAAAAGTAAGGACATAAAACAAAACGTGTTGCAAAAATTTCAATAGCAAGTGCAGGTGGGTGAAATTCACTGACAATACGCGAAAAGAACTCTAGTCCAATGACAATGTAATAAAAATAATACAGTTTTCATTCTTTTGTGTTTGTACCGTCCATTTTAGTTGGATTTTGTAAAAAAATGCAAGCGAATTACTTTGTCAAATTAAACTAAGCTCCTGATTTCACATAATATGTGATAAGAACACGTACTGTAATAAGCCTTTTTTTCTGACAAGTAATTGAAAAGTAGTCTGTACGGTCGACATATGTTGTAATAATTTTGATGAGATTTATTCATCATCATCATTACAGCGCATAAAAAGTCCACTGCTAAACAAAGGCCTCCCCCAAGGAATGCCACAAAGCTCAGTTTTAAGCTTGCCTGCACCCATCGATTTCTTGCATATTTTACCAGGTCATAACTCCACCTAGTGGGTGGTCGCACTAAAATTCGTCTACAGATATAATGCTTCCTCATCGTTTGTCGGTTCTTCGAGCTTTATGGGATTTATTACATCTAATTAAATAAAGAAATAATCTTAGACTATATGGTCCAAGATTATTACTAAAATATAGTTAAGTAAATGTAAAAGTGTAAATAATTTTTTAATATTATATTGGCAAATTATAAAATGATTATTACTTCTCGATAGAGCTACATCTTGTGTGGTTAGATGTGTCGAGTAGTACTGACATTGATTTCCCTTGAGAGTACCTGAGCTTCATTGATAAAATCCAATTATAAATCAGAAGACCCTTTTAGCTCAAATGTATTGCGGCGCTTTTAATAGAATACCCAATATCTGCTAAAGGTTTTATCATATACGTATAATAAAATATGATTACTTTGCTAATGTAAACATTATAATTATTATTAAGGATATAAAATTTAGTCCAAACGATCAGTTTTTGTTTCTAGGTATACGTCCTAATTAAATGCACTTGTTTTAGCAAGGGTTAACTCATCTTCATCATTATAAGCTCCTGTATCCAAATTTTCGTTTTCTATATCAGGAAAATTTTCGTAATAGCTGCGGTTATTCTTTGAAATAGATGTATTCTTACATATCGCCGCCCCCGGAGAATATAATGATAACTTTAAAAACACGATTTTTCAGGAAAAAAAATACCGATTTTTGACTTTAACTTGCTAAGCAATAGTTGTAGAGAGAAAAAATTATATATTAGCTCAATGATAGCTAATTTTTTAACCTTTATAATGAGTAAAAAGGTTATATATATACATATATATATATATATATATATATATATATATATATATATATATATATATATATATATATTGTGTATAGTATAGTCTGCTTATCGACAGATGGCATTGTTTGATTTATGTTCGCGCTATTAAATGTATTACTACCGTTGTACTTAGTTAGCTGCTTATGTATGTCAATTGAGTTTAAAATTCGAGTGAATATACGAGTTGTGTTTACGTGAGCGTGTATCATTTCTAACATTGGTGCCGAAACCAGGGAAAAGAGAAGAAGAACCAAAGTGAACTGTGAAGTGCTAATAAGTGGTGAGAATAGTGCAAAGTAAACGAAATTGGACTTTAAAACCGTGAGTAAATAAACTTGTTAGATATCAGTGAATTAGAAGACAATCTTAGGAAAATACTTGGACTTGTAAAAATTTCGTGAGTACGTTCTGTGGACTTAGAAAAAACTAGTGTTATTTTAGACTTGTAAAAATTTCGTGATTTTATTCTATACACTTAGAAAATTCTCAGAACCAGTGTGGACTTGTGAAAATTTTGTGATTTGTTACTATAGACTTAGAAAGTTTTACATATTATGGACTTGTACTATTTTAAGAGTTGAACTTCAGGATTGTTATAAATTACTAATTCGAAAGACTTTTAAAGGAAATTTACTCTAAATTTAATAAAATAAAATGGAGAGATTAATCAAAGGGCAACAAGAATTGTTTGAACAATTAAGAAAAGCCGAGCGCAATCTTAAGAAGGCGAACCATGAGGTTCGGGCAAAATCTAGTTATCTGATAGCAAGAATGGAAGCGTTAAACAAGTTGGAAGAAGCTTTCAACCAGAATCATCTTGAAATAGTTGCCATAGCAACGGAGGAGCAAATGGAAACGTTACAATATTTTCAAGATGACTTACAGGATAGCTTTCAAGAATCTTTTATACAATACAAAGCTTTGTTAAAGGAATATCTAGATTATACCGATCAAAACACGACTATACATGCGATAGACGCAAATGAGAATGAATCAAACAAAAATCAAGGTAACTCTGAGGTGCAATTACCTAGAATTCAACTTCCTATTTTCTCAGGAAAATACACCGAGTGGCAATCTTTTTATGATATGTTTGTCTCATTAATACATGAAAATTATACACTATCAGCTGTTCAGAAATTGCATTACTTAAAATCGAGTTTGTCTGGAGAACCTGAAGTGCTTCTGAGGAATTTTGCTACTACATCAGCTAATTACAAAGAAGCATGGGAGCAATTAACTAAACGTTATAATAACAAAAGGTATAACTGCAATGCTATAATGAAGACATTATTTGGACAAAAGAATATACAACACGAATCTGCGAATTCCATTAGACATTTGTTAGACACAACAACTTCTTGCCTAAAGGCTCTTAATAATCTCAATATTGGTACGGAACAATGGGATGCAGTTATAATTCATTTGGTAGTGTCAAAGTTGGATCATGAGTCACACCGACAGTGGGAAAATTATATAAGTACCGCATCAGATGAATTACCTAAATGGTCTCAGTAAGAACAATTTTTAGAAACGAGATTTAGAACTTTGGAGATGATCGATACAAGTAAGCAAACAACAAGCAATAAGATGACCATACAATCAAAAGGTATAAATCAAGCGGTAAAAGCTAAGGCATTTCATTCAGCTTTGAATGTAAAACAGACTTCATCTGAACAGAATTGCGCGATGTGTAATGGTTCACATTTTATTTATTACTGTATTCAATTTAAAAAGCAACCAGTTCTTGAGAGACAAAATATTGCACAAACTAAAAGGCTTTGTTTCAACTGTCTAGCACCCACGCATCCTGTATACAAATGTCATCAAAATACTTCTTGCCGCAAGTGTGGTAAAAAACATCACACTTTGCTTCATTTTGAGAAAGGGGATAAAGAAGCTTTTAACATATTAAAACAAAATGATTCATCTAAAGGAGAACCTCAACAATGTAATAGTGAAGAAACTTCTACAATGAACGAGAGGAACGTAGTAGCTAATTTTTCGAGACAAGATTTAAAAAATTATAATGTATTGTTAGCGACTGCTGTTGTAAAATCTAATTCTAGAAATGGTTCTTATGTGATTAGAGCGTTGCTTGATCAAGGCTCGCAAGCTTCTTTTGTTAGTGAAGATACTGTACAATTATTAGGTCTTAAGCGTACAAATGTAAATGGTAAGGTGTCAGGTTTGGGAGATGGTCAAATGGTGATTAAACATGCAATTAGTATTGAAGTCGAGTCGCGTCACGTCCCTGGGAAAGTTATATGCGTCAATGCGTATGTATTAAAATCACTTACTTCATTATTACCAGGTCATGAAGTACGTATACCTGATTGGCTAGAATTAAAAACTTTACCTCTTGCCGATCCAGGATTTGCATCACCGGGAAAGGTGATGTGACATATTACTCGGTGCTGACGTATATGGAGAAATATTGCTAAGTGGTATTAAGAAGAGTCCATATGGAAATCTAATAGCACAAAACACGTTGTTTGGGTGGATTTTGTCAGGTAAAGTAACACCCGAGTTGAATAGCGAGAATATTATTACTTTACATGTTCAAATAAGAGAGGATGAGATACTGAAAAAATTTTGGGAAATGGAGAACGAGCCTAATAGTATCGAGAAAAAATTAACAGCAGAGGAAAAATTTTGTAAAAAGTTATACAAAGAAACTACTTTAAGGCGTGAAGACGGTAAATTTATAGTAAGATTACCTTTTAAAACAGTTGACCCGCAGTGTCAACATGGTCAATCATTTGATATTGCTGTTAACAAATTATATTCATTAGAGCGAAGATTGTGTAAAAACCCTACACTTTATAACGAGTATATTAACGTTTTACAGGAATATGTAACGTTGGGCCATATGAAGGCAGTTAATCGTGATGATGTTAACAATTCTAAAGCCGTGTATCTTCCTCACCATGCAGTTGTGAGAGAAGATAAAGAGACAACGAAGGTTAGAGTCGTCTTCAACGCTTCTAGTAAGGGTGTAAATAACGTGTCTCTTAATGATGATTTACTTGTTGGTCCTAAACTCCAACAAGACTTACGACACTTATTACTACGATGGCGAAAACATCCGATTGGTATTGTTGCCGACCTAGTGAAAATGTATCGGCAGGTATATGTGCACGAAGACGACACTAACTTTCAGAGGATATTATGGAGAACTAAACCTGAGTTACCAGTTCAGCACTATAAACTGCTAACATTAACCTTTGGCACTGCATGTGCACCTTATCTTGCAGTAAAAACCTTACAAACATTAGCAGAATTAGAAAAAGACAAATATCCGTTGGCAGCTCAGATAACACTAAGAGATTACTATGTTGACGATTTAATGACAGGTTGCGAAACTGAGAAAGAAGCACTACACATTTACGAAGAAATGTGTAAGCTGATGGAAGCTGGTGGATTTGAACTGCAAAAGTGGAGTAGCAATAGCCAATTATTTCTAAATCACATTAAGAAAAATAATTTGAACACCGAAAACGATTAAGGTTGATTAAGGTTTCCGTAACGATTAAGGTTGATAATATAATGAAAGTGTTAGGTATTTGCTGGAACAGATGCACAGATAATTTTGAGTACGTAATAAATTTAACTGACCCAGAAGAATATGTAACAAAACGGAAAGTTTTATCGGATGTTGCCAGGCTATATGATCCTATAGGATGGATTGCCCCAGTAATAATTACTGCTAAGATTTTCATCCAGAAATTATGGAAAGCATGCCTTGACTGGGATGAGAAATTGCCTGAAAACCTTTTGTCTGAGTGGTTAACATTTAGATATGAGTTAGCAAACATCAAAAACATTTCTATACCACGGTGGCTTGGTTCAAAAAAGGGGTCTAAATTAGAACTTCACGCATTCTCAGATGCATCAAGTGTAGCCTATGCAGCTGCAATTTATCTCAGAGTGGTGGACGATAATAATGAAATACACGTGAAGCTTATTACTGCCAAGACTAAGGTTGTACCAATAGAAAAGGAGGTGACCATACCCCGCTTGGAACTTTGCGGAGCAACTCCAGCTGCCAAATTATTAAACGAGGTTTCGCAAGTAATGGACATACCTAAAGTAGACTTATATGCGTGGACAGACTCAACTGTTGTATTGGCTTGGCTACGTGGACCTGTTAGTCGATGGACTACTTATGTAAGTAACAGGGTGTCCCACATTCTCACAATTATGGATGTTGAACAGTGGGGACATGTATCAACTAACTTTAATCCCGCTGACTGTGCGTCAAGGGGACTAAAACCGACAGAATTAAAGAGTCACGAATTGTGGTGGTACGGTCCTGGTTGGCTATCAAAACAAATCGTTCGTATTGAAAGACCTGTGTTGTTGGACATTCATGAAGAAGAACGAATAAAATCGTTTGTTGTTGAAGAAAGGCGATGTAATGATTATGAGTGGATGAAATTTTCAAACTTAACTAAGCTATTGAAAGTTATTTCGTTATGTCGCAGATTTCTGAAAATAAAGTTGCCGCCACATGAAAGGAAAGCATTTCCAAAATTCGCTACAACTGACGAGATGAATCAAACACTGCAACTTTGCATTAAACAAGTTCAAGAATGTGAATTCGCGGTAGAAATAAATTCTTTGACTTTAAAAGGTTGTGTAGCAAATCGTAGCGTGTTACGCACTCTTTATCCCTTTTTAGACAAAAATGGGATCTTAAGAGTAGGTGGGCGCCTAAGTCAAGCTAATGTAAGTTATGATCAAAAGAATCCAATAATTTTGCCTGCTGAGAATCATCTTAGCCTGTTAATAGTTGCTGATGCTCATACAAAGACTCTTCATGGTGGTCCACAACTGATGATGAGTTTTTTGAGATCCAAATATTGGATATTGAGAGCACGTAATATGGTTAAAAAGTATTACAGAAGTTGTGTCGTATGTTTAAGGTACTCTAAAGCAGCGGCTACACAATTAATGGGTCAATTGCCGGAGGTTAGGTTAAAACCGAGCAGACCTTTCAAAAGTTCAGGAGTGGATTATGCAGGTCCAATTAATATCCGATTCTCTCCAGGCCGTGGATCAAAATCCTACAAGGGATACATTTGTTTGTTTGTTTGTATGGTAACTCGCGCGATCCATTTAGAAGCGGTATCTGATTTAACAGTCAAAGGCTTTATTGCTGCATTTAGAAGGTTTGTTGCACGTAGAGGTCATTGCCAAAATCTTTTTAGTGATAAAGGCACGAACTTTGTGGGAGCTAACAAAATGTTGTGTAAAATGTTTGATAATGCTAAATCTGAACTACATAATGAAATAGCTGAATTATTAACTTTGGAGTCAACAAAGTGGCATTTCATATCACCAAACGCACCTAATTTTGGAGGAATATGGGAGGCGGGTGTACGATGTGCTAAAGCTCATTTGAAACGAGTTGTAGGGGACAATATATTAACATTTGAAGAGATTTCTACTATGCTGACGCAAATCGAGGCCTGTTTAAATTCGCGACCGTTGAGCATTCTTAGTGACAATCCAAATGACCCTCTCCCATTAACACCTGGTCATTTTTTGATAGGGGAGCCATTGTTAAATATTAACGATGTAGATTACTCTGATCAAAATGTGAGGGGCTTAGATAGGTGGAAAATTATTCAAAAAATGGTTAATTCATTTTGGAAAAGGTGGTCTAAAGAATTTTTAAGTAATTTAAATCAGAGAAATAAGTGGTGTACTAAAAAACCTGAAATTGATATTGGAGATGTAGTGGTGATAAGAGATGATAATATACCACCTGCCAAATGGATTTTAGGTAAAGTAATAAAAAAACATGCCGGACCTGATAATGTGACTCGAGTCGTTAGTGTTAAATGTAAGGGAGGGTATTTAAAACGCCCTGTTAGTAAGCTTTGTGTGTTGACTAAGTCATAAAAATTCAAATCCCACTGTTACGGTGGGCGGCTTGTTTCTTTAGTTGTTAAGTATTTGTTAGGAGTATGTGGATTTTTTTTGAAGGACAAGTCCTTGGTGGGCGGAATAAGTAAAAAGGTTATATATATATATATATATATATATATATATATATATATATATATATATATATATTGTGTATAGTATAGTCTGCTTATCGACAGATGGCATTGTTTGATTTATGTTCGCGCTATTAAATGTATTACTACCGTTGTACTTAGTTAGCTGCTTATGTATGTCAATTGAGTTTAAAATTCGAGTGAATATACGAGTTGTGTTTACGTGAGCGTGTATCATTTCTAACAATAATGTTTTAAAATAGGTTATACTAAGATTATCCGAACTGGAGATACTTAGAATTTAAAAAGTTACTATAATTGTGTTGTTAGCTTAATTTATTAATAACACTTAGCATTTTATTCTCGTTACTTTCAAGAGATACTCTCAGTATTGCATGTTTTACAATAATATCCAACGAATAATAGACGCTAAATAAACGGAAAACAATACCACTTGGCATTCTATTCCAGTTAATACTGAAAATACATTGAACGTTAATAGAACCCTTA